GCAGGCGCAAAGTTTGTTTACTCTGTTTTATTAACGAAATATATAAAATAAAACTGAATAAATGATTTGGTTTGCATAATAGAATTGCTCATAGAAAACAACGAAATTTAAGAAAAGGTTTTTGTTTATAACTTTTAAATAGTTAATAATATTAACCCTCCCCCTCCAGATTGGTAAAAGGGGGGCCGAAACGCGTCGTTTGGTACCCCTCCCGACTTTTCCGGACCTTTTTTAGGGGTTGTTACCCTACACTAGAGAATTATCTTTTTTTTTTTTTAAAGTCCAAAAAGTCATAAGGGAACAGTATAAAAACGCAGCCAAAAATCTATATCAGCTTTTTGCTTTTACGATTATTTAAAATTCAAAAATAGGCAATTTTTTAAATTTTCATTCTTTTTTAATGTTTGTGCAAAACCAGAACTACTATGAAATTTTTTGAGATATTCAAAAATGGGAAATATGTTATTTCCTTTAGCAGGAAGAACTTCATCATATGATAAAAGAAAAGTCCTAACTAAAATTCATACAAATCAAAAATGGTCGATTCAAACCATTAACTTTTAGTGCATACAAATGATCTGGTTCAGATAATATTTACCCATACCTGCTGCAGCGAAGCACATCATCATAGAACGAGTTTAAACTCGTTTTCACATCGACAGCGGCGACAAACTTATGAAACATATGTAATCTCCCAAAAGCGCGTAGGCCTATCAGTCTAAGCCCGTTTCTAATTAAATCTTTAGAAGAATGAACTGCCTCTCAAATCAGGTAGCCCTTTCTCAAGGGCATGCCACCACTCCAAATGCGAAATGGATATAAAAGAGAACAATCTCTCTCATATAACTGCAATACACAATCGAATTAAGTTTGGTAATTGAAAATGCATTAGAGCACGAGCAGATTGCGCTGTATGCGTATGTAGCGGATTCCAGAAAATTTTAACAATGGCCACATACCTAACCATGACATCGGGCCTTATTCTGGGTACCTGACTGGTCACAACCGACTGCGATTCCACTTGCATCGAATAGATGGGATCACAGGGTCGAAATGTTAACTCTACATTGAATACAATCAAACTCCAGAGCTTATTCTCTGTTACTGTGCGGCTTTGAGCAGACAAGGCAGCAACTTTTAAGTGCCAATAGCCAAACCCTTTGTTACAAAGACTTCGCGTACCAGGGTCATTTTAGGACTCATTAGGGAATCGAAAAGATCTTCCGTTCACTGGTTTAGGGATTCTCTCTTTAAGAGATAAAAAAGTTATTTCAGGTCACGATGTCTCTTGTCCTGTTATAACCAAGCACTAACTGACATACCCAACAACATTCTAGGCGAAAATTTTCGCATCTGACAGCAAAGAGCCATTTAAAGCCTTAATTGGAAGGAACTTACGTAAAACGTGGTTGAGGCTAGTAGACAGTTACAAAAGTTTGCTGGACAAACCAGGAACCCGTAGGAAGGTTGGCTTGTGGTGGTCTCCTGGTCATGACAGCTTTTATAGCAATGAAAATACTGATATTTTTGCCATAAGCGCAGAGAAACGGATCCGAAGAGAAACACGTTAGGGCTTGTAAGAATATCGGTGGCTCACTTGCGCACGCCAAAGAGTAAAAGCCAATTCAAGGGATTTATAGTTTCTTGTAGATGGAGACTCGCGACCACTCCCAATTCTTTTGCGGCAGGGTCTAAGAACTATTACTAACAGAACTCTAAAGCTAAGATACCACCTTTCCTAATCAGAGAGTAGACCACAATAATAATAATTACCATATACGGGAATTCATTGCGCTGTGTGGCAAGTCCACCAATTATACTATGTACAGATGGATAATAACTGGAACAGGCTAAAAAAACAAGTTTAAGGTAAAAAAAAAAAACAAATTCTAAATAAAATAAAAATTCTAAGCAAACTAATGTCTAACCTCTCTTTGCTGCATATTCCTTTGGTACATCACGGCAGCATACGAATTGTTCGGAGCGTTCAAAATAACAAGTTTTAAGTCGCTCTCTTGAATCATNCAAGTTTAAGGTAAGCAAAATAAAAAAAACTTTTCTAAACAAACTAATGTCTAACCTCTCTTTGCTGCATATTCCTTTGGTACATCACGGCAGCATACGAATTGTTCGGAGCGTTCAAAATAACAAGTTTTAAGTCGCTCTCTTGAATCATAAGCGCTCGGGCAGTATCTAATGTTGCGGCACATACCCTGCTCACCATCCGACAAAGTGCATTCGATTTCATAGTCATCAATATCTGGAAATATTATACGATCTGGCATCTGTGCTGAAATTTTTAATACATATTTGAGTGAAATCTTAATTTAAAAACCAATTTTTTTAATGATTTTGTTTGAAACACCAACCCAGTGCCGTAATAGTCTGCACTAGTAAAATGAAAAGGTTTTTTAATTGCATTGCAAATGTTTACTATATTTTTACTAGTTGGTAATCTTCAAAATATTGAGGTTTTTAAATTTCAACACTTTTGACACCAACAACTTTTTTTTTAGTTCCCTTGTTTCACTGCCTGTATTTGTTTGCACATTTGCCATGAAACTGATAGTCTAGCTTGCGAAAGCGAAAGCATCGAGTTTTAATTTCGAAAAAGTGCGATAAGCCGGGTTACACTGACATAGATTTTAATATATACTATATTATAAAAAAAATAAAAAAAAGTCCATGTTTATTTTTCTGTAATGCGTTATCAGCACATTGCCACACACCCTCGTACTCGTATCTTTATACATACAACAAACATATTGATATGCACTAGGATGGTCCAAAAAGAGTAAAGTCGGAATTTTTATGCCCTCACTCCCTAAGATTGTTCTATACCACAAAAATATGCCCCTATTTTTTTATTATGAAATCAAAAAATATTTAGAGGTAGCTCAAAGCGCTCAAAGTTTTCAGTGTGTTTTATATGGGAAAACACACAACTTTTCGTAGAAATGTTATAGAATTGTTGAAACTCAATACTTTTTAACTGGAATCTCTTCCGGAGACTCCCAGTAATAATAACCAATTATTTATTTAAGCAGTTTTTCATAGAAACTATATTTTAAAGGTCCGCAAAATTCACGGAAAATGTCAGAAAAAGAAATGGAGTGATAAATAAAAAAAATTTTTGGTATTAAAAAATGATTAAATAATTAATAAATTGGAAGTCTCCTGAAGAGAAAAATATTGATTTTCAAGAATTATATACTATTCCTACCAAAAGTTGTTTTTTATTAACCGACTTCCAAAAAAGGAGGAGGCTATCAGTTCGTCGGAATATTTTATTTTTTTTTGTTAGACCACGTCAACCGATCTCGATAATTCTTTGAAAGGTCGGAAAGGTAGTGTCTCAGAGGTGGTCCCATACAGTCTAGTTTAGGCCCGATCATTGGATCATGAAAAAATTAACGGTACTCCTAAATTTTTATATGAGAATTTATGTCGGTTTTGTTTTTTGCTTAAAAATTACTAGTTATTACAATGCTTTTTATTAACTTACAATCTTGTGTGTCCAGACAGAATTTTAGCAAATGTATTATGGCAAAGTTTCTATACAACCCAATCTAGGTATCAACCTCGCCTACCGGCCATACCAAAAACCGACCTCGATCATATTAAAGACTCTAGAGGTAGATGTCGCCTCGCCGCCAGCAGTTATATATTGCACCTAAAAATATGCACTATATATGCTACAGCGGAAATGGACGACACGCCATTTCTTTAAATGAAATTAATTCGTGCTCGTATGTATGTACATGCTAGGGTTGTTTCGAATGCCATATTTTTCACATTCGTTAATGCGAATGCGAATGCGAATTTTTGGGAATGCGAATGTTAAAAAAGTTATAATCAAAGTCATCGTTTTTATTTATACAGAGTTTTAATCTAGTTGTCAAAGTTCAAAAGGGGCATATTATATTAAAAAAAAGTAATTTCGCTGCCTTTTTTCCCACTGCACAATTGGGTGAAGCGGTCAAATACTTGCGGACCAGATCTGCCAATTTGTCGTATTTTAGTTTAACTTTCCACCAATCGAGAGGATTTTCGAAGACATGAGCTCGTTTTTCTTTAGGATAGGCCTTCAATCGAGACCACACATTTCACATTTTTTAATGTTTTCAGATTTTCAGATAAGACTTTTAGCAGTACTTGTTGAAGGCCCATCAATGTTGCTTGATATACTGCTTAACCGTTTATCGCCTGAAGCTAAAATCCGGTTATTGTCCGCATCCTGGTTAGATAGACTTAGAGCCATTTCAACAATATTAGAGTGGACTCTATGCCCGTGTACACATTCGCATTCGCAAAACATTCACATCATTTGATGCTTATCCGAATGTGTAAAATGATGCCAATCATTCGCATAACGAATGCGAATGCAAATGTTCACAACATCCCTGATACATATATATCGTCACCTGAAATGCAAAAATACGTAACAAACATCATCGCTCAAATGCAAAAAGTCATAACTAATCAAAAATTTAAAATTCATGTTTTGATTTATATGATCGATTTCATCGAATTACAACTACCCACATCCCACACCGACCTTTATATTTCCCAGCTCCGAAAGATTTGCGGGATGGGAAGAGATATTGGACTCAACCCTAACAACAGATGGTATTGTCGTCGATCACTGGAGAGTATCCAGTGAAACATCCATGCCAGATCATTTTTGGATACTCTTCAGCATTCGCGGAAAAACCACTACCTTTTCCCTATTTCGGAATTCGACAAGACAACTGCTGTAGAACTAGAAAACACAGTAGATAAACTGGAAAAACTCTAGCCATAGCTTTTAAAAAATCCACACCTTAAGAAAAAATCCCCTCCATGGTGGACGGGGGAGCTTAGGGAGCACAGGTCAAATCTCAGAAATATCTTTAAAGAGTGCTACAGAACAAAAATGTGGCAGCCACACAAATATGAATTAAGGCAGTACAAAAAATTAGTAAAGAAAGCTAAAGCGGACTTTTGGCAGTCCTATTGCACAACCATAGGGATTCCGCTAGACTAGGCAAAGCTTTATCCAAGGAACACATCAACCCCAACCTTATTAACGGAGAGGACGGTGCATGGCCAAGGACAGAGGAGGAATTACTAGAGACCCTCATAAATACACACTTTCCTGGCTGCGATCAGAGGCCAAAAACATGGCCTCATACAAATCGTCAGCAACTCTCAAAAGAGTTACTCGACTCAATCGTAGACAAGGAAAAAATTAAGTTCGCTATAAATAAATTCTCCCGATACAAATCCCCTGGCCCAGATGGCATCATTTCGATAATGCTCCATCAATTACAGGAGCCTATGGTACCCTGGCTCAAAAGAGTCTACAAAGCCAGTATCATCTTGGCATACATTCCGAAAAGCTGGAAAAGAGTGAAGGTTGTCTTCATTCCCAAACCGGGAAGAAGAAATCACGAAAAAGCAAAAGACTTCGGACCAATAAGTCTTACATCTTTTCTGCTAAAGGAATTGGAAAGACTTTTAGACCTGCATAGAAGGCATTTTCTGGAAAATTCCAAACTTTCCAAAGATCAACATGCATACGTTAACGGCAGGTCAACTGAGACTGCCCTTCATGAAGTCGTGCACACCATAGAAAAATGACTCCACTACAAGCAGTACACTCTGGCGGCATTCCTCGACATAGAGGGGGCCTTCAAAACCCTTACAATCGTAGCAATTGTTCGATGCCCAAGGGGAAGTTCTGTCTCCGCTACTATGGGTGGTGGTACTGAACGATATTCTACTGGATCTCAACAAAGGTGGAAAGAAAGTAGTAGCATATGCAGGTGATGTAGTGTAGGCGGTATCAGGTCTCTTTCCCTCAACGATAAGAAAAATCCTAGCGGGAGCTTTGCTTCGGCTAAACACCTGTGCTACAAAAAGTGGACTGGGTGTCAACCCTAGCAAGACGGAACTGATGCTGTTCACCAATAAAACCAACAATACCACAATGCAAGCTTCCCTCCCTTAATGGAACGACTCTCACATTGTCTTCCGAAGCTAAATACTTGGTATATTATAAAATATAATTAAAACTTTCGCCAGTTTGTTTTGCACCCCACTTAAGGGTTTCTATTTAATCGATAATCGTTGTACAATCTATAAAGCATAGGGAAAGTTGTGCCCAGGATCGTATTGCACGCTGAGTTTCCAGTTCCACTGAAAGAGAACAATAAACCCCCTGCTGCACGGTGGTTCAAAACTGGCATTCATTCACTCCATTTTTCACTTAATTTGATTAATTTTTATTTTTTTTTTATGAAAGCTTACAATATTTGCATGCGACCAGTTGAGCCTGATTTCTGAATTTTAATTTGATTATATTACATTTTTTAGTGCAAAATGCAGAAAAGGTAGCAATTTTGAAGAAAATGTATTCTCCTGTTCCAGTTAATAAATGTTACATAACTAAAACTTGTTGAAAACAATTGTATGGTCTTCCCAAAACAAAAAAATACACAACATACATTTTTTAAAATGTCATAAAAAAAATGTTCACCAAAATAAATATTTTTTTTTGGTTTTTAGTAAAAATTGGTGGAAAAATGAAGGCTGTGGTGGATTATGAACATTGAATTCCAATTTTGAACCACTGTGTGTTGGTTTCGTCGTGCAGTATGAATTATGGTAAACGCATTTTGGTAGCAAAGGATGGCAAAGTCCTTGAAAAGGATTTGGCTTCATTTTTCGCTACAGCAGAGAAACTTATACAATTCAATAATATAATTAACTGGTAAATATTTGATTTAAATTACGATATGGGCAAGGTACTTTTATCATACAAGTTGTATGTACGTATTCCCAAATCATTTTGAAAAAATGCCCTTTATTTTACGTTTGTTAATATGGTCACCGTATGCATGGGCTACCAATAGAACTCCATATCCGCGAAACTACTACGTCTGCGGCAGTCAGACTCAAAGAGTCAGGCTGCTGGAGGGCGCTGCAGCACGGCCATAGTGGCATTCTTGACAAGCTTATCGTATCGAATCAGGGAAACAATCATATTATATACCTCCTACGACAGATTTCAGGAAAAGCTTTCAGGTGTAGTTTCCATCAAGACGGGATTGGAGTAGGAGCAGGATAGTCGAGGAGAATTCCACTGAAATCTATACTTGCGGGTCCAAAATGGACTGCGGAGTGGGTGCGCGGGTGTTCTCTGAAACGCTGAATGTCTCTCTCTCGTTTCGAACACCTAACTTTGCTAGCATCTTCAAAGCGGAAGTACTGGGCATCGAAAGGGCCTGTAAAGCAATAGAAAGGAACTGTGAAAAGTATAATTTTTTTCAGATAGCCAAGCGGCACTTCTGGCATCGCATTTCTGGCTAGCAATTTTCAGGACGAATGGATTAGGACTGCGCCAAGAGTTCGTGTGAGAAAATCCAATTTTTTGGCAGCAAATGTTAGTTACATGGTTTTGTACTTTAAACGACGATGTACATGGCTTAAAATAGAGTTCAAATTTATACTTAGGCTGTCGAAATTTCGATCTATGTTATGTAGTTTGTCTACTGTTAATTAAATCTGATGCTTTGTATTGCATGCGCTCCACGTTTTTCGTTTT